ATTTTAATTAGGTTTGCCTCAAAATTTGTTTTAAGACTAGAAAAGAATGTGTCACCCCATTATCAGAGTATTCATCTTCTCAATTCCTCTGAAGTATACAGAAAAGATCTTATAAAGACTCGTTTGCTTTCAATCAAAGGCTTCTTTTTATTTTAAGAGTGAGACAGGATTGGGAAAACTGATATAGTGTTCATTTCAACATTCTCTGGCAGGGAAAAAAAAAGTTATAATATTTGAATCATCACTTGTTTTAAGTGTATTTCTGAAAAAAGCAAAACACTTCAGAGCTGAAGATTTACCTAATTTGAGGAGAATGTCCACCGTTCTACATAATTGGCAAAACTAACTGCTAAAGTCAAACCAATCAGCCATTGGAGGCTTACTTTTTTCAGAAAAATATGACTTCTCTAATTCAAATAAATGTTAACACATGTTCCCACACACTTTTTCTCATTTCTGAATTCTAAGACTATAATTTTGATAACCTACAGACCTTGATATGAGCTTGTCACCTGAATAAAACAAGGTACTCCCACTTCAGCATTCCCCTTTTGCTCTTACCTCAGGAATGACACTTTAATAAGGAACAGAGAACAAAATGCTAAAATCATATAATGAAAACTCTTACCATTTTGAAACTTCAACACAGGCCAGTTTTGAACATGTTTCCCAAGAACAAGGACAACACACTCCATACCATCTTGCACTTGACCTTGGTTGCAAACTGCCCCTCTGCACTCCTCTGGATAAAATCCAAAATGATTGAACAATGGCTGCTAATAGCTAAGAAAAATTCCTTCTTCTTCTGAGATTCATTCTTGACCAATTATTCCTGAAAGGAGATGACTCCAGGTGACTCCCTTTATAAAAAGCTGTATGTCAGAATGTTCCTTTGACATCCTTCTTTCCCATGCCCAGCATTTTTAAATAAAGGCTTATTCTGCGCTCTGACTGGTTTTCTTCCAAATAAGACACATAAAGACAGGAAGCTTTATCCAATGGCTTAATAAATGGAGGTTTCACTAACACCAGTAATTTGTTAGAACTGTCCTTTTTTTCTGGACACCCTGGAGGATTTTCCACCTTCTCCTCCAGAATAATACACCAAAAAAATACTAATGATGTAGGAGAGTCTGCCTTTATTCTTTAAAGTAGGAAAAGGGCAATTGAGAACAAGATATAGTAAAAATAAATAAATAAATAAATAAATAAATAAATAAATAAATAAATAAAGGGAAGCATACTACTTTGCCACCTTGACCAAAGGAACTTTGTCAGAAAAGAAACACAGAAGTTGCGAAATGTGAAAATGATTCCTGTAGTGAAAATGATTCCTGTAGAATTATTTGCATACTGAAGTTTGAACCAGTCCATCCTGAAGGAGATAAGTCCTGGGTGTTCATTGGAAGGACTGATGCTGAAGCTGAAACTCCAATACTTTGGCCACCTCATGCGAAGAGGTGCCTCATTGGAAAAGACCCTGATGCTGGGAGGGATTGGGGGCAGGAGGAGAAGGGGACGACAGAGGATGGCTGGATGGCATCACCAACTCGATGGACATGAGTTTGAGTAAACTCCGGGAGTTGGTGATGGACAGGGAGGCCTGGTGTGCTGTGATTCATAGGGTGGCAAAGAGTAGGACACGACTGAGCGACTGAACTGAACTGAAGTTTGAAGAGTACTGGTTTAGTAGTTCTAGTGCCTAAGTTACAAGAATAAAACTGTCATGAGCCATTTTTTGTTAAACAGCAGAATCAGACCTAAAATATAACCTATACAGTAATTATCAGACAGCAAATATAAATGCAAATATTTTTAAAGCACTTAAAGAAATAAGTGTGCTTTTAGAACAGTTAAAAGATTGTCAGAAATGGTGAGGCTGATTTAAAAACAAAGAGAACATCTAGAAATAAAAAATGAAAATATTAATAGAAACGTAACAGATGGGTTATACAATAGAATATATGGAGGTGAACACTGACCTACAGAAATTACACAGAATGCAGCACAGAAAGAAAATGGACACGAACTATCAAGGCATTAAGAGACAAAGAAGCCAAAGGAGGAAAATGCAATACATGTCTAATTAAAATTGCAGGAAAGAACAGAGATAGCAGAGAACAATAATTGAACAATAATTAAAAGTAGATAATTTTCTAGATTTGATGAAAGACACCCATCTACAAACTCAGGAAGCCAAAATCTCAAAGGTACACAAAAAGAAATCAAGACCTAGAAAATCGGAACATAAATCATAAGGAAGAGATTACTCAATTGGTCATAGTTTAAAATTAAGAACTTTTGCACATCAAAGGATTTCATAAATAGAACGAAAAATCAAAAATCAAACTTCTCAAATAAACTTTGAGAAGACATTTGCAATACCAAAAGATCAGTAGCTATATTAAAACAATGAAGTAGAAAATGGTCAAAAGCAATAAGTATGTATTTCAATAGGAAATCACAAATGGTTAATTAACATATGAAAAGATGCTCAACCTTATTAAGACTCCGTGAATTGCAAATTTCACACCAATGAGACATCATTTCACAGTCTCCAGATCAGCAAAAATTTGAAAGTCTTAATAACTGCAAGCATGGTAGGTATATTAGTATTCATTTTACTATTCCTTGAACTGCATATACACATTATATATGTTCTTTAACATGCACATGCTTCATAACAAAAATATTTTTAAAGTGACACCTGGTTTTGGCAATAAAAATCATGGTTCTTGCCTGCTGAGAGCAGTTTCAGTGAAATAATGGGATTGAAAACCAGACTGCAATGGGCTGGAAAAGATCTATGAGGTAAGGATCTAAAGACAACTACAGACAACTATTTCAAGCTTACCTTTGAGGTTGGGGAGACAGGACTGCAACTCTAGGGGAATATCACTGTGAGAGGTCCTTTTATTTTTTAAATAAAAGGGAACCGGGGCAAACTTTAGAAAGAAACAGCAAAAGTGGGAGGATAATGACACAGGAAATAAAGGGTCCCCCAGGATAGTAACAAAGGTATAGAATACAGAGCCCATAAAGACGGACTGCTTTTAGACAGAATCAAGGGTTCCTATTTCATTGTTATAAGAAATAATCTCTCTGACTTTAATTACATTGTTTTTCTGCTTGCTCTATTCACTCTAGTTACAACAGTCACTTTGATCCTCCTTTAAGCAAGCCCCTACCCCAGGACTTTTGCACTGGTTATCCCCTCTACGGAGAGCACTCTTGCCCAGGTGATGCAAAGCTTGCCTTTCACTCCTGTTAAGTTTGTTCAGATGTGAACTCAGTGAAGCTCTCCCTGACCACTCTGAAAATGAAATCCCTTCCTCACTTCCTACCACCATACTCCTGGTAATCCCTGTTCTTTCCCAGCTTTCATTTTCTTCACAATCTTCTAATATTCTATATAATTTACTTATTTTATTGTTTAATCCCCCCACCCCATAGTATGTAAGCTTCATGAATGCTGCAGCCACAGTGCCTGGTAATACTCATACAGGTAAAATCTCAATAAATACAAGCTGAATGAATGATTAATGATTCCTGCTTGAGGAACCTGAAAAACAAGTACAACGCAAAAATGTTGTTATGATCCGAACAAACTGAGGAGGTAAAGCCTTGAGAGCAACCCTCTTACTGCCCACAGAAGAGGTGACATTTGAGTTAGAATCTGAATTAAGGAGTTGGCCAAGTGGAAAAAAAGGTAGATATTCCAAAAAAGGGAAGAATGTGGAGGTTTGAAAGGGCCTTGCACATTTTAGGAATGAAAGTGGGGTACACCTGGTTTAAGGCCAGGATGACAGCAGACCATATTTCAGCTAACCTTATATTGTCTATAATAGAGGACACATTATACTGAGCTTCTCAAAGTTAAAAATCCTTTTCAGCAAACTATAGTTGCTTGGTCACCTGTTTTATTTGCAGCAAAGTTAGAACGTGGAATATAAAATGACCTGTACTGGAACTACTCTCTTTAGCACAAAGGAAAAAGTGTGAACAAGTTTCATCTGTGTTTTTCATCAACTGTAGATTATATGTATCACAGTCAACCAAAGTGACAGTATGTCACCAAATGTCTCAACCTCACTTATTACTCAAAATCAAGGCTAAAAGTTCTCATTTTTAGGAGACAGCAGTTTAAATGCAAAAGAAGAAATGGGCAAATCCAAGTGTTTGTTCTGTAGCGGCCACTCCCTATTTATGAATGGGCCTGCAAGCTGTCATAATTAACCCACACTCATTACACTGTTTTCAAGTAGTCAATCTTCCTTTTGCCCACATCACTACTGTCTTTGGAACACTTACCTTTCTTTTAGCCCCAACTCAGTTACTTAACTACCCAGGTTAATTTCAGGATTTCCTGGTGGAGACAAAAAGCTCCTGTGTACACACAGGGAGAAAACTTTGGAACACTGTTTCAGAGTCCATGAGCCCATGTATTCCGTTTAAAAACATTTAAGCACAAGACTGGATAGCTGGTGGACGCTAAAGTACTTTCGAAGTTTTGCCTTTCTGAGGCCTGGAGCGGGCAGAAAACTTGGGGATCCCTGAGGAGGGCGGGGCCCCAAGAGACTCCCAAGACAGGTCAGAGGTCAAAGCTCAGGTCTAAAGCGAGAGAGGCGGGGCCGGCCTTAACAACCAGGGGGCGGAGGGGGGGGCCCGGAGGCCAAGGAGGGCCGCGGAGACTCGGAAGGACTCACAGTAATATGCCACCACAGGGTCCCGCTTGTCATGCTCCTGCGCCGTCCTCAGATGATGCTGTATGCTCTTAAACTGTGGGGGCAGCGGGGGGAGTGTAGCAAGCGAAGCCATCTCCTCTTCAGGAATCACCACTTCCTACTCGCCGGCCGCCGACACTTCCGCTTCCGCCTGGGAGGGTGCCCGCACGAACGCGCACGGCAAATCCCGCCCATTTCCCCGTTGCTCAGCGACAGCGAGGCAACTACGGGTTGGCCGCAGGGACAATCTCAGTTCGCCTGGCACGTGGCGGTTAGAGCCCAGAGGAAGCTGAGCGCCTCGGCCATCCCGCTGCCTTTGGCACCAGTGCCCTCTGCTGGCTGCTGGCGGGAGGGACGAGGGATTTTGTTTTACTTCTCTTTGTTTGGCCATCGACACCCCTTTTGTGGCTGAAGGACTGGTAGAAAGGGAAAAACAGGAAGAAAATGGTGTTTATTGATTGGGAGAAAAGGTAAAGAGGTGAATTGCCTTTGGCATCCTTCAGGAATTATCGTTTCCAGTTCCTCACTTTATATTAATAGCGTCCGTAGAATCCTCTCTGACTTTAGAAACTTTGAATTGAATTCTTTCATAAGAGGAGAGACGTGTTTAAAATTTTAAATTACACTTCTATATGGACACATTGGATAAAATAACCGGATGCTTTTTCAACATGAGTACTAACCCATTAAACTTAAAGATAATTGAACTTTTGTTCTAAGCTGGGTGTATACACTAGTGAATTAATACTTTGTAGATAGCTTGTTTCTGGAGAGTAATGAACAATTTGCAGAGTTCTTTGATAGTTACTATCTTGTCAATGCACAAATAAGGCATTCATAGTTCTTGCTCAATGCTGCCGACTTATACCATTTTAGGTAGTCATCAACTTTTCCTTCTACCATCAGTGACATTAATCCTTTTTCTTGTTTCTCCATGCATACTATCAGGATATTACACTTTATTTACTTCCTCCAGCAACCTTCATCTTCATTTTATCTCACTTCCCAGTTTTGAGAGTTCATCTTAAAACTGGTTTTCATTGGAAGCACATCACTTGAAGAAACAAGATCTCAAACTCTGAAATTTCCCTCTGCCTACTATTTTCTAATCAATACCCCACCCTACCCTCACCCAAACATCTGCAGAACCTGCTCAATGTCCTTGTATTAACTACAATTCACATCTATCTTTTTTCCACCCCTATTTGCAGAGTACATCACCTTACTCAGGGGGCTGCCTCTTTTTCAAAGAACTGAGTTTTGTGTTCTCCCCAATTTAAGCAACATATTTATTACCTCTTAAGAATGTATTTATTCAGCTTTCTGACCCTTACAGTTTGCATGATATATCTTTTTCTACTTTTATTGTCTATGTAATATTTGTTAAAATATTTTAAAATATTAAATCTTTAAATATTTAAAGTGAGCTTCTTGTTAATAATTTGATCTGTATATTTTTTAAAATGTTAGTCAGCAATCCCTGTTTTGCTTTGGAATGCTTAGACTTTTATATGTATTTATTTTAGATATTTATATTTATTTACATATTTATATTGTATATAATATGTTATATATATATTTAAATATTTATATTTATTGTAACTTGATATTTTTAGGTCTAATTCTACTACCTTGTTATTGTTTTCAATTTGTCCCCTCTGTTTTTGTTCCTTTTTATCTTTTTGGCCATCTTTTGGATTTGTTGAATGTTTTGATTTCCTTTTTTGGCTGAGTAGCCAAAATTTTGTTTTTGTTTTCCTAGCTGTCTTGTATTTTATAGTATACATCTCTAAATTATCACAGTGTATTTCAAGTGACAATGTATAACTCCATATATATTATAAAATCTTACAAGGATATACTTGCACACATGATTTGATATGCTACATTTTTCTAATTGTTATTTTTAAGAAGAATTTTGGATCTATCTATTGTATATTGTTTATTTTATAATTTGTTACTTTCTGTCTTTATCCATATTAAATTGTTTTTGTTTTCCTTAGTTTTATTTTGAAGTTCTTATGTTTGCTGCTTGAATTACATTTATTGTTTCTTTTTTAAATAAGAAGTATATTTTCTGCTGTCAATTTCCCATGCGCAACATCTTATAGAATTTAATATGTAGTATCCTGACCATTTTTCATTTATAATCAAACTGAAAAACTTCAATTTAAATTATCTTATTTGACCCAAGAACTTTTTATGCAATAACTTTAAATATATTTTCAAGTGGTTAGTTAGTTATTTGTTTAGCTTTGACATTCTTATTCATTTTTCCTACATTTGCAGTTTAGTTAGAAAAATCAGTTTTTACATTTTATATAATAAATATCTGATATTTATATGTTACAAAAGCTATATTTTTTGTAGCATTTATTATCCAGGAGTATATAGGTGTGTGCTAACAATCTTGATATAGTTACTAACAAAATGAAATCATAGAATATTATAGATCATTAAGCAATTAAAAAGACCGTCCAAACAAACTCACACCGAATCTGTATCTTTACACATATGCACTATGTACTTAAGTAAAGCAGAGGTGACCAGATTTTCTCTAGTGACTTAGAATTGCTATCTTTCCTCCTTGTCCGGGGCTGAGGAGGCCAGATTGACAGGACAGACTGCCTCAGGGGGAGAAGCTGCAAAGCGTGAGAGCCCAGAGATCTGTAAAGGGCCTTTGACTGAGTCCTGATCAATGTAACATCTTCGCAGGAAGAGAACTACCTGAAAGGATTAAAAGGAACAATACCCAAGAGTCACATAGAAGTGAGAAGAGTTACTTTTCCCAACAGCTAGGGTAGAAATTCTCTTTAAAAGGGGCATTACTTTGAAAATGTCCTAGGATGAATCAGAATAAGAATAAATCAAAGTGTTCATCTTTGAAAGGGCAATGATATTAAAGGGAATTCTGGTTTTTTTAAAAAATGATCTTTCCTTAGAAAATTTGTAACAGGCCATCAAGAAGAAAGTCTTTTTACCCCTTCCCCCTTCTTTCCTTGGGCACAGCAAAGACCTGCTTCATGTAGCTACAGTAATTTCTGTGGCAACCATGAGTGCAATGGGCCAGATATTTGTGTTCCCCCCAAAATTCATATTTTGGAAATCCTAACCTCCAGTGTGATGATTTTAGCAGGTGGGACCTTTGGCAAGTAAGTAGGTCTTGGGAATGGAACCCTCGTGAATGGGATTAGTGTGCTTGTAGAAGGAACTCTATGGAGCCCTCTGGCCTTTCCACCATGTGAGGCTATGATGACAAGACTATAACTCAGAGGAGGGCTCTCATCAGACCCTGAGCATGCCCGCACCCTGATCTGAGACTTCCGTCTTCCAGAACGATGAGAAATAAATTTCTTTTGTTTATAAACTATCCAGCTGAGATATTTTTGTAGTAGTAGTCCAATTGGACTAAGACAGTGAGTCAACCAGCCTGAGAAAGGAATTCAAGAATTTGAGAACAGTGGAAAAATAATATTTTCAAAGCATCAAAAGGGTATCTCATAGGGTACTCAGAAAGGTTTTGCTTTGGTAATGGGTCAAAATTGGGCCTTCAATGAGGGTTACCCTGCTCCCATCTCACAGATCTTAAAAGAAAGCACCAAGGATCAACTGTTTCCAAGTCATTTCACTGTGCCCCAGAATAGAATTTAAGAATTATTTATGTAAGGACTTCCCTGTAGCTCAAATGGTAAAGAATCTGCCTGTAATGCAAGAGACCAGGGTTCGATCCCTAGGTCGGGAAGATCCTCTGGAAAAGGGAATGGCAAGCCACTCCAATATTCTTGCCTGGAGAATCCCATAGACAGAGGAGCCTGCTGGGCTACAGTCTGTGGGGTTTCAAAGAATGGGACACGACTGATTGACGAACACACCAATCATTTGTGTGTGTGTGTGTGTGAGTCACACAGTCATGTCCGACTCTTTGTGATCCCATGGACTGTAGCCCACCAGGATCCTCCATGCATGGGGTTCTTGGTCTTATAAAGGTGCTAAGTCTTGTTTATCTTTGTATTTGAACTTTTAATGTGGTACATGTTTAATAATAGATACTAAGGAGCTATTCGTTGAATTTCTCTTGTGCTGTCATGTGGAGAAAGCCTCAATGATTTAAAACTCCTTAAATGTAGAAATTCATGATATTAACCATGAGTTGAATAGTGCCTAAGAAAAAAATTGAAAATCTCAGTTTTTAACCAACTATACTTATTTCCCTAATAAAGTGCTAGTAAAATGCAGTCATACATAAAGTTTTTAAATGATATTATATGGACATGATTATTGGTAAAACAGGCAGTTAAAAAGAATGCACTGAATTAATATGAAAATACCTTAGAAATCATTTCATAGCAATTTAGGAAGTCTAACAATATAAATATAATTTTCTATCTCAGTAATCTTGTATATAGAAACTACAGTTATAGAATATCTATGAGCACAGAGGGATTTTTTTTTCCTCCAACAAGAAGCAAAGAGACCATGCACATTATTTTCCATAGCATTTTTATTTATTTAGTGGCCATATTACCATATACTTTAATATTAAAAATTTCAAGAAAGTGTTGGTATAATATTAAAAATGTAAGTGCTCCATTTCTTCAAGTTAGTGATCAAATTATAGAATGACTCTTTTAATAATTAACTGACAACTGTTGTACTTCAGTAAGTTATATTTTACATGAATGCAACAATAATTACATTCTCAAAATTTATGCTGCTTACTTAAGTGGAGAGGGAAATGACTTTCTAGTTAAGAAAGCTGAATCCTGGTCTGGTTGTGTGACTTTGGATGCATACATTAACTTCCTTGAGCCTAATTTTCCACCTGTGTAAAAGAGCTGACAAAAGTTTCTCTGGCCATAAAATACCGTGATTGATTAAGACGTTGTGTATGAAAGAGCTCTGTAAAAGTACTGTTTAAAAAATGAGTTACCATTAGTTCCATGTATATTTCTTAATGTGTGAAAAAAATTAAAATGGAACGAAAGGTTCAAGAATCCCTGCCTTAGAACTTAGTCTTATATTTTATACTAGACATAAATTTCAGACACAGTGAGGTAAGTTTAAAAAACAGATATTTATGTGTGAAGTTGAGGTACTCACCGAATAAGATAAAACTAAATAAAAATGGTTGATAAGTAATTGTGGCATGACAGTAGTTAATCATCCTTTTGGTCATTGACTGATTAGAAAGCATAATCTTCTAAATATGATCTCAAAAATCTCAGCAACACATAATACTATTGTAATGACAGTAAATGTATACATTGCAATGAGAAAAATGGTCTTCTCAAAGTGTTCTGGCACCATGCATTTTATAACAGTAAATTTTTTCCCAAGAGACACAGCATCACACAGGTAGAGAGGTTTTACTTGGAAACCAAAAAGGTGAATCTGAAGCCAAAATGCTACCACTTCTAGGCTAATTCTTAACAAAACAGAGAGGATGTAGATCACAGTGTAGATGGGTTTTTGAAGAATGCATTCTTGATTGATGCTTTTACATGCAGCATATAGATGGAAAATAGCTCCAGGAACCAGGACAATCACTAGTTGTAATGCCCAGAACACCTAAAGTATGTCAGAAATATCTTAGTCAAATCCACAGCATGTCATGAAAATATACACTAACAAAATGTACTGACCCTCAGTAGAGGCTAACTTAAAAATTCTAAGTTTTGTAAGTCTTATGAGGAATAAAAATAGTATAATGAAGGTAGCAATGCTGGATATATCTCATTTAATTTTCAAGATGTTTAAAGTTTAAAACTTTAGATGTCTTAATAATTGTGAAAAAGTAGTCACATTTTACTGTCATTACCTACCAATTACGAACAATGATGATATACTTTATTTTAGTAGCTACCCTATCTGCATTTTCTAATTACAAGCCTGGAGTATAATTCTAACATCAATAGATAATAGAATGCTGGACTTAGAAGAAACTCTTGATCTGCTTAAATTAATTTACTTGAAATATATGATTAATTTTTAAAAATTATTATTCTAGAAATAATACTCATTAGCATAGTCTATATATTATTTTACATTTATAAAGAAAACAATTTTATCTGGTGTAGAATAAGGTTTATATTTGTACACACAGAAAAACTTACTTGTGGAGTGATTGGTCTGAACTGATTATAACAGAAGAGGTTTATTTCTCTCTTGTCCGGATCACAACTGAAGTGCAGAGCCTCATTCCCGTAGACTGCAAAGCCTAAGACCCCGAGGAAGAACATTCGAACTGATCCAAAGAAAAGGGTGTGAAATTGGCCAATCACGGTAGGAGGCTTCATCTGTTACAGTTTTAGGAGGAAAAAAAAATCTTTTGAAAACAAAAATTAAAGGAGGACATTTTAAAGGATGTTTTCATCATCACATTTTTAAAAATTTTAAGATTTATGAAATTTTGAAGAAAGAACCTTAGATATCATCAAGTCCAGTTTAAATCATGTGTTATGAGATTTCTTAATGCTTTTCACTCTGAAAATATGAAGTGCAACAGTCAAATGGGACCTTGTTGCTAATGAAATAAATAATTTTGAAAATTTGTAGAAAGCTTTGAAGTCAATCAATATCCCTTTTGCAATACAATCAAGGTAATCTTAGTATATCTAGTACCTATTAAAATAATTGGATAACAAATCCAACGTTAGACTCATTAGTATATGCACTTTCTTAACAACCAAATAGTGTTTATTTAGTTGTCATTACACCTTCTTTCCTACTTCTTCAACTATCAAATTGAGCAAGCAAGCTGCTTTAAAGCACCGACAGCTAGAAGTACTTCCTGAATTATTCTAGTTACAGTTATTTAGATTCAGAATATTTTGAAGTAAATGGTTGATATTTGTATGACTCTCCATGCACGTAGAGAACTCTATTCATCAGCAGTCATGCGAATCAGGTTAAAATACACAGAGAGGACTCATGCCATCGTCGCTGTTTGTATAATACTCACACATCCTTCATAGAAGTTTTTGATGTAATTTAGAGACATGTCTCAGGAGATGTTATCCTGGCATCTCTGAGGGTTAATCCTTGACCCACATTGCCAGTTTGCTTCTGCCAGAATCAGACTCTTATTTTCTGTCATGACTTTTACAACAGAAAGCACTTATCACTGCACATTTCTCTCCCCTCCTCCTTTTCTGTCTTTTTTTTTTTTTTCATAGATCTCTGGGGCCCCAGTTAACTTTCCTCTCTCCCTCCCCAAACAAAACAAAACAAAAACAAAGGGCCTGGGGCGTGTAGTCAACCTAATAATCCCCTGACCTACAGTGTCAGCACAGCCAGCCAGTCACCCAGCGTGCCAGCAAAGCAGGGGCCAGCCGGGTAGGGGCTCCGACACTCACTGCCTCTCAGTTACCTAAGAACCGCCTGTGTGTAAATCAGTGGATTCCAGTCTACAGCTTTCTCTGAAATATTGAGTGATCTTTTTTAAGGGGGGTAGGGGGCTTCCTGTTAGGTGAGTCTAAAAAGATAAGTACGTGGGAAACTTCCCTTGTACTCATCCTTTCTTGTTTAATTCCGTGTTTTCTTGTTTACTTCTACGGAATAAAACTGATTTCTGGGAGGGATAGTTAGGGAGTTAGGGAAGGTCATATACACACTGCTGTATTCAAAGTGGATAACCAACAAGGACCTACTGTATAGTATATGGAACTCTATTCAGTGTTACAAGGCAGCCTGGATGGAAGAGGGGTTTGGGGGAGAATGGATACACGTACATATATATGGCTGAGTTCCTTCACTGTTAGCCTGAAACTGCCACAACATTGTAAATCAGCTACCAGTTCAGTTCAGTTCAGTCGCTCAGTCGTGTCTGACTCTTTGCGACCCCGTGAACCACAGCATGCCAGGCCTCCCTGTCCATCACCAACTCCC